TCACTGTGTTTCTAAGAGCTCATTTAATCCTCCCAAATCCCCTGGGAGGAGTTTCTATCCCTGTGGCAGGTAAGGAAGCAGAGACTGGAGAGTTAGTCACGTCTCCAAGATTCTGCAGCCCAACAGGCACACACCAAGTGTCTGTTCCCTCAAACTGTGTTAAGCTGGGAGGAGAAACCAAGGTGTGGTTTCTGCCCTCATAGAGTTCACAGTCTACAAGGAAGCAAACAGCAACAACGGTCCACTACTATGTTACAGAATGGGTGATGAAAGAATCACTTGATGCTGCTTAATGCCCAAGGAACTCTGGATCAGGCTAAATGCCTGAACTAGGGCAGAAAGAGGACTCACCTGGGCAGACATGATCTGTCTGGAAAGAACAAAATCACAGAGGTATCTCAGGAAAACACAGCCCATTTGATCTGACCAGAGTATGAGGCATGCTATGGGGAAGTAGAGGCCTACAGGGCAGGAGGAGAGGCAGGCAGCTTGCCAGAACTGCTAAGGGATAGCCTCTGTAGAAAGACAGGAGGAGATGGGCTGCAGAGCTGGAGCACCATGGAAACAAGAGTTTTGAGTTCTATAAAGGCCAGAACTAGAGCCACCCTGTCCCCAGCCCCAAACTGAACCAAAAAGCCTGTCTTCCAAGTGATGGGCACAGACCCTTCTCTTCTATAAAGACTGATGGGTGTGGGGATGTTCAGGGAGGAGTGGACGGGACAGCTCTGAGTGGACAACTTAGGGGATGAGGAGAGTATGGTTAATTCCCCTAGAATGATATCAGTCGGGATAGGGAAATGGGAAGTGGGAAAACAGAGCTATTCACTCAGCAAGCATGAATTCAGGGCTTGCCACGTGATGGGCAAACTGTAGACACTAGGGCTAGAAGATGGTATGGGTATGCTGGTTTGGGTTGTTTTTGGCAGGGGAGTTGTTTTTGGTTTTGTTTTTTTTTTTCATTACCTCTGTTTGCTTTGTTGTTTGTTTTTATTTCTTTATTTTGAGACAGGGTCTCCCTTTATAAGTCCAGGCTGAACTGGAATTAATGTAGCTCAGGCTGGCCTCAAATTCACAGTAATCCTCCTTCCTAAACTTCCCAAGTACCAAGTACTTGGATTTCAAGCATGTGTCAACATGCCCAGCTAAGGCTACAGTTTTGAACAGAACAGGCAAAACTTTTGCCACCATGGAGCTTCCATTCTAGTAAAGATGGGGATCAGAGCACGGAAGGGGATAGAGAAAAACAGGGAGGGAGCAAGGGACAGGGTGCAACTTTTTTTTTAATTTTATTACTTTTATTTTATGTGTATGCATGCATTGCCTGCATGTAGGTAAGTGCACTCACGTCGTGCCATGCCCATGGAGGTCAGAGGGGCTATCAGATCCCCTGGGACTGGAGTTATGGACAGTTGTTAGCTGCTGTGTGGGTGCTGGGATTCGAACTGGGTCTTCTGCAAGAACAACCAGTGTTCTTAGCCACTGAGCCATCTCTCCAGCCCCAAGTGCAAAATTTTTTAAAGGGTACCCAGAAGTCTAGCAAGTTCAATGAACAAGGAAAACAGAAACTCACCAAATCAAAACACCACCAGGTAAAACACTTGCCATGTGTCCTAGTTTGTTCTTCATTGCTGTGACAAAATACTCTGACCACTACCAACTGGAGGAGGAAAGGGTTTATTTAGCTTACATCTCCCAGGTTGCAGTTCATCAGGGAGCCCAAGGTAGGAACTCAGGGCAGGAAACTGGAGGCAGGAGCTGGAGCATAGGCCATAGAGAATGCTGCTTACTGGCTTGCTCCCCTGGCCCCTGCTCAGCCTGCTTTCTTATGCGACACAGGCCCACCTGCCCAGGGGTAGCACCACCCACAGTGGGCTGGGCCCTCCCACATCACTCATCAAGAAGATGCCCCTCAGACATGGCCACAGGCCAGTCTAATAGAGGCAATTCCCCAATTGAGGCTCCCTCAACCCAGGTGTGTCAAGTTAACACTAAAGCTATCCCGCATACCATGCAAGTCAAACAACATGCTCCATCCCTGGAAGCACTGTGGAAGGAAAGAACTGACTCCCTCTGAGCTCCACGTGTACACTACACTCATGTGCATATGAGTGTGTACATATACATCATACATGCACAATAATAATTAATTCAATAATTAACAAAAAAACAAAGTGGGAAACTCCTGAGGAATGACACCCAAAGCTGACTTCTGGCCTTCACAGACATTCACACACGCACACACACACACACACACACACACACACACACACACAAAAGAAAGGCATTCAAGGAAAGAGTAAGTCACACCTGAGAGCATGGGTGTACGCATCTCAAAGAAGAGTCACGCTTAGCATTAGCCATATGTGCTAGTTAGTCTTTATTGCCAACTTGATACAACCTAGAGTTGACCTGGGAAGAGGGAACCTCAATTGACAATTTCACAGATCAGATTAGCCTATGGCCATCCTGTAAGAGAATGTCTTGATTGATGGTTGATGTGGGAGGGCCCAACCCACTGTGGGTAGTACCGTCCTTGGACAGGTAGTCTTGAGTTCTGTAAGAAGGTCAGATGAACCTAAGCTGGTGAGCCAGTAAGCAGCCTTCCTCCATGGTTCCTGCCTTGAGTTCTGGTCCTGGCTTCCCTTGACAATGAACTTGGCCTGGAAGTATAAACTGAAAAAACCCTTTCCCCTATAAGCTGCTTTTGGTCATGGTTTTTATCACAGCAACAGAAAAACAAACCTGAGCAACAATTGGTTTAGTTCGTACCATAATATAGTGGAAGCATATAATCTTGATTTCATAATCCTAGCAGCTTACAGTAAAAGATTTGAGACTTTAAAGTGTTAAGATTTTTAAGGATTTTGGAGTCCTTTAAAGTGGACTGTATTTTATATTATTATATAAAAATGAGACTTGAGAGACAAGGGGTGGAAGGTTATAGTTTTGAAAGTCACGTGTTTGTGTGTCAAGTTGACAAGAGATGGATTGTGATAGTTGGTTTGAAATGTCAACTTGCCACAATAATTTTTTTAAACTTTATTTTATTTTTATTTTATGAGTGTATTGCCTGCATGTGTGTAACTGCACCTGTGTTGTGCAATGCCCATGGAGGTCAGAAGAGGGCATTGGATTCCCCAGAACTGGAGTTACAGACAGTTGTTAGCTTCTGTGTGGGTGCTGGAATTCAAACCCAGGTCTTCTGCAAAAATAGTCAGCGCTCTTAACCACTGAGCAATCTCTCCAGCCTCAGCTTGCCACAATTTAGAATCACCTGAGCAGTAGGATTGGAGAGATGCCTCAACAGTTAACAGCACTGACTGCTCTTGCAGAGGACCCGGACTTGATTCCCAGCACCCCCAAGACAGCTAACAACAGTCCATAACTCCAGTTACAGAGGATCTGATGCCCTCTTCTGACCTCCAAGAGCATTGCATGACACAGGTGCACTTACATACATGCAGGCAATATACTCATACCCATAAAATAAAAATAATAACTAAAATAGTCCTTAAAAAAGAATCACCTAGCCGAGCATGGTGGCACACACCTTTAATCCCAGCACTTGGGAGGCAGAAGCAGGCAGATCTCTGTGAGTTCAAGGCCAGCCTGTTCTACTTAGTGAGTTACAGGCCAGCTGGAGCTATAGGGAGACCCTGTCTCAAAAAGACAAAAAAGAAAGAAAGAAAGAAAGAAAGAAAGAAAGAAAGAAAGAAAGAAAGAAAGAAAGAAAGAAAGAAAGAAAAAGAAAGAAAGAAAAAATCACTTGAACAGGAAGCCTCAATTGTCTTGATTGCCTTCACAGAAGGAAGATATTCACCTTTTGCTTGCTTGGCCAGCCTTCCCTCTTTGCCACCAACTTAATTTACCTTGTTGCTGCTGCTGTTGATTCCTTTGTTGATATTAGAACCAACATTTCCAGGCTTCCATCCTGGTTGACTGAGGTCAGCAGCTCTCCAGGAACCCTCCAGGTCTTTGTCTTCAGCTCCAGACTGGAACTGCGGAGGTACCCAGACTCATGGACGGAGTAACTACCAGGCTCTTAGCCTCCCGGGTGTGAGATAGCTGTTGTTCTAAACTGATTTAATAAATTAATTTTTTTTTCATTCTATTGATTCTATTCCTCTAAAGAGCCCTAATATACCACATATGTTATTTTGGTGATTCTCAAGATAAGAGCCTTTTTCTCCCCTCTATTTCTCAATAATTGAGATTATAGGGTGGCTCTTGAGGTGCCTTAGAAGAGGTTACAATCTGATTAAATAAGATCAGGATTCACTAGGACTGTACAAAGGAGTTAAGATGTGTCCTTTTACTGTAAGGGGTTTTCTGGGAAGAGTTCTAGAAAAGTGCAGGTTTTCAGCTGAGAAGAGAGAAAGGCTGTAAGCAACTGTTCTGTTCCTGTGCTAAATACTTGATTCTCAGCTGGTGGGAGGCTTCAACCAGACTCCTTTCCTTTCCCATGTAGCTCCTTTCCCATGTAGCTCCTTTCCTTTCCCATGTTCCCTCAGTTTTCCCTGCCTTTCTATTCTCCCCAGTTTTGAGTAAATTTCTGAAGACACTACCCCCTCCACTCCCCCACCTCCTGCCCTGCTTAGAAAGCCGTGTTTTGTCTCTGAAATCCCCTTCCTCCATCTGCCTGGTCTGAGGGGCATGGTGGAGATGAAGAGGGAGCTGGTAGTGGGAGCACAGGAGTGTCCCCCAGTTAGCTTAGAGCCTGGACATGCCCAGCCTCAAAGCTTGGAGTTCAGGAAATCCGGAGCCAGAGGAGGGGACTGCCAGCCCTCTAAGACCCCTGAGGCAGGAAGATTGCTGGCTCACCAGTTCCCCTCAGCCCCCTTCCTGAGAGGAAGGGGCTGGCTGTGACCCCCGAAGAGTAGGGGCCCAGGGGAGGGCAGGAGGGAAGCCAGGGAGGTGTCGCAATCCTCAGTCCCCCAGCCTGTCATTAACGACAGAGCTAGAGAGAGAAGTTTCAGGAACTTGCCTCAAGAGGAGAGAAGGCAAGAAGAGAGAGCAGGGAGGCTGGGCACACAGCCCTGTCCCCCCACGTAAGTAAGGGAGAACTGATATGGAAGCCCCAGATCATATCCCCAGCCCTGCCAGAGTCCTGTCAGGGGGCCTAGGACAAGTCATCCATCCTTGGGAACTGGGAGTCTCTGTGGGTTTGGCATTGGGGAGATCAAACAGCCAAACCTCTTTGGGCTCAGAGATAAAAACATCTCTCCCAGTGTCTCTGTCCCTCAGGCATGTTCCAGTCCTGTTTGTGGCTATCTATTTTGCTTTTGGTTTCCTCTGGGCCCTTTGGCCCCTTAGCTAGCTTCCTTTCTCTATCTCAGAATCTCTGGGTAGCCCTCTCCTCTTGCAATTCCTTTCGTCTCTTTAAACAGTTGGTGCCATATTTGGCCTGCCAGGCCTCAGGCTCTTTAGATCAGCACAAGTTTCCACTGGGCTAGTTTCACTGCAGGTCACTCCACCTTTCTCTGTATCTCTCCAGCCTCTGTAAATTTTTGGGGGGGAGGGGGAGCACAGTGCTGAGGATCAACCCTAGGGCCCCAGTGCTAGGCAAGTGCTCTAGGATGAGCTATATTGCCAGGCCTCTGTTTGTTTGTTTGTTTTGTTGTTGGTTTTTTAAGGCCTGGGTTTCCTGTAGCTTAGGCAGGTCATGAACTCACTTATGTAGCTGAGAAGGATCTTGAACTTCTGATCATCCTGCCTCTACATCCCAAGTGCTGGGATTATAGGCTTGTACCACCATGCTTGATTTTGGTTGGTTGCTTTTTTTGTTGTTTTGTGTTATGTGGTGCTAGGAATTGAACTCCGGGGCTTTATAGATGCTAGGCAAGTACTCCGCCACATCCCAACTACATCCCAACCCTACCTACTTTATATTTTTGGGACTTGTTACCCAAATTGCCCAGATTAGACTTGATTTTGCTCTGTAGAGCAAGATGGCCTTGAACTTACAATCCACTCGCTTCCACCTGCAGAGTAGCTGGGATTTCAGACCTATACTACTAGGCCAAGCTCTGCCTCGGTCTTTGTCTCTGTGTATCTATCCCTGTATCTAGCTATCTGTCTATCTATCTGTCTGTCTCTATCTCTATGTCTGCTATACCTGGGAACACCTCTCCTTGGTTTACTCCCAGTGTCCCTTTTCCAAACTTCATCTTCCCACAGAAATGATTTCAAAAGGGCAGGGTAGCTGAGAGGGAAGGCCCAGAGTGAAGGGGGAAGGGGGAGGGAAACAGGAAGAGGGGGTGCTGTGGCAGCAGTGGTGAATACCATTAACTGTGCCAGCGGCCACAAAAAGTCAGAGAAGCTACAGAGACCAACAGAGATGGCTAGAGTGATGGGAACAGACTGAGACCAGGGAGAGCTAGGAGACCCAAAAATGGGGCTGGGCAATGTGACACGGACAAAAGCAAGGTGGCTGTCCCAGGAGGCTATGAGGGAGCGGCACAAAGCCCTGCTGTTTTCACTGGCTCATGTCCTGCTTTAGGACCCATAGAGGCAGTCCACAGATGCCCAGTGCTTGCTCCTTGGGCCCAGCACCAAAGGCTTTA